ATTATAGTGACGATTGTTTGGAATTATAGTGACGATTGTTTGGACAAATGACTAATGTTCATGCCATGTAGACGATTTGTTGCTTTCCAATGAATATTTATTTGCCATTTCATCGGTAGGATTTTGCAGCAAACGGACTATGTATAATATTTCTAATAGTATTATGCTCTGTATATAACCAAATTATAGTTAATGCTCTGTATATAATCAAATTATAGTTAATGCTCTGTATATAACCAAATTGTAGTTAATGTTCTGTATATAACCAAATTGTAGTTAATGCTCTGTATATAACCAAATTATAGTTAATGCTCTGTATATAACCAAATTGTAGTTAATGCTCTGTATATAACCAAATTGTAGTTAATGCTCTGTATATAACCAAATTGTAGTTAATGCTCTGTATATAACCAAATTGTAGTTAATGTTCTGTATATAACCAAATTGTAGTTAATGTTCTGTATATAACCAAATTGTAGTTAATGCTCTGTATATAAGCAAATAGTAGTTAATGTTCTGTATATAACCAAATTGTAGTTAATGCTCTGTATATAACCAAATTGTAGTTAATGTTCTGTATATAACCAAATTGTAGTTAATGCCCTGTATATAGTCAAATTATAGTTAATGCTCTGTATATAACCAAATTATAGTTAATGCCCTGTATATAACCAAATAGTAGTTAATGTTCTGTATATAACCAAATTGTAGTTAATGCTCTGTATATAACCAAATTGTAGTTAATGTTCTGTATATAACCAAATTGTAGTTAATGCTCTGTATATAAGCAAATAGTAGTTAATGTTCTGTATATAACCAAATTGTAGTTAATGCTCTGTATATAAGCAAATAGTAGTTAATGTTCTGTATATAACCAAATTGTAGTTAATGCTCTGTATATAAGCAAATAGTAGTTAATGTTCTGTATATAACCAAATTGTAGTTAATGCTCTGTATATAAGCAAATAGTAGTTAATGTTCTGTATATAACCAAATTGTAGTTAATGCTCTGTATATAAGCAAATAGTAGTTAATGTTCTGTATATAACCAAATAGTAGTTAATGTTCTGTATATAACCAAATTGTAGTTAATGCCTGTATATAAGCAAATAGTAGTTAATGTTCTGTATATATAACCAAATTGTAGTTAATGCTCTGTATATAGTCAAATTATAGTTAATGCTCTGTATATAACCAAATTATAGTTAATGCCCTGTATATAACCAAATAGTAGTTAATGTTCTGTATATAACCAAATTGTAGTTAATGCTCTGTATATAACCAAATTGTAGTTAATGTTCTGTATATAACCAAATTGTAGTTAATGTTCTGTATATAACCAAATAGTAGTTAATGTTCTGTATATAACCAAATTGTAGTTAATGCTCTGTATATAAGCAAATAGTAGTTAATGTTCTGTATATAACCAAATTGTAGTTAATGCCTGTATATAACCAAATTGTAGTTAATGTTCTGTATATAACCAAATTAATAGTTAATGCCCTGTATATAACCAAATAGTAGTTAATGTTCTGTATATAACCAAATTGTAGTTAATGCTCTGTATATAACCAAATTGTAGTTAATGTTCTGTATATAAGCAAATAGTAGTTAATGCTCTGTATATAACCAAATTATAGTTAATGCTCTGTATATAACCAAATTGTAGTTAATGTTCTGTATATAACCAAATTGTAGTTAATGTTCTGTATATAACCAAATTGTAGTTAATGCTCTGTATATAACCAAATTGTAGTTAATGCTCTGTATATAACCAAATTGTAGTTAATGCCCTGTATATAACCAAATTGTAGTTAATGCTCTGTACACATCCATACAGCAGTTTTATATTCTGTACATACCAATATCGTGGTATAATGTTCTGTATATATCCAAAGTGTAGTTGATGCTCTGTACACACCCATATAGTAGTATAATGTTCTGTACATATCCAAAATGTAGTTGATGCTCTGTACACACCCATATAGTAGTATAATGTTCTGTATATATCCAAAGTGTAGTTGATGCTCTGTACACACCCATATAGTAGTATAATGTTCTGTATATATCCAAAGTGTAGTTGATGCTCTGTACACACCCATATAGTGGTATAATGTTCTGTATATATCCAAAGTGTAGTTGATGCTCTGTACACACCCATATAGTGGTATAATATTCTGTATATATCCAAAGTGTAGTTGATGCTCTGTACACACCCATATAGTAGTATAATGTTCTGTATATATCCAAAGTGTAGTTGATGCTCTGTACACACCCATACAGTAGTATAATGTTCTGTATATATCCAAAGTGTAGTTGATGCTCTGTACACACCCATATAGTGGTATAATATTCTGTATATATCCAAAGTGTAGTTGATGCTCTGTACAACCCATATAGTAGTATAATGTTCTGTATATATCAAAGTGTAGTTGATGCCTGTACACATCTATATAGTAGTAAAATGTTCTGTATATATCCAAAGTGTAGTTGATGCTCTGTACACACCCATATAGTAGTATAATGTTCTGTATATATCCAAAGTGTAGTTGATGCCTGGTACACACCCAAATAGTAGTATAATGCTCTGTATATATCCAAAGTGTAGTTGATGCTCTGTACACATCTATAAAGTAGTAAAATGTTCTGTATATATCCAAAGTGTAGTTGATGCTCTGTACACACCCATATAGTGGTATAATATTCTGTATATATCCAAAGTGTAGTTGATGCTCTGTACACACCCATATAGTAGTATAATGTTCTGTATATATCCAAAGTGTAGTTGATGCTCTGTACACATCTCTATAGTAGTAAAATGTTCTGTATATATCCAAAGTGTAGTTGATGCTCTGTACACACCCATATAGTAGTATAATGCTATGTATATATCCAAAGTGTAGTTGATGCTCTGTACACACCCATATTGTAGTATAATGCTCGGTACACACCCATATTGTAGTATAATGCTCTGTATATATCCAAAGTGTAGTTGATGCTCTGTACACATCTATAAAGTAGTAAAATGTTCTGTATATATCCAAAGTGTAGTTGATGCTCTGTACACACCCATATAGTGGTATAATATTCTGTATATATCCAAAGTGTAGTTGATGCTCTGTACACACCCATATAGTAGTATAATGTTCTGTATATATCCAAAGTGTAGTTGATGCTCTGTACACATCTCTATAGTAGTAAAATGTTCTGTATATATCCAAAGTGTAGTTGATGCTCTGTACACACCCATATAGTAGTATAATGCTCTGTATATATCCAAAGTGTAGTTGATGCTCTGTACACACCCATATTGTAGTATAATGCTCGGTACACACCCATATTGTAGTATAATGCTCTGTATATATCCAAAGTGTAGTTGATGCTCTGTACACACCCATATAGTAGTATAATGCTCTGTATATATCCAAAGTGTAGTTGATGCTCTGTACACACCCATATAGTAGTATAATGTTCTGTATATATCCAAAGTGTAGTTGATGCTCTGTACACACCCATATAGTGGTATAATGTTCTGTATATATCCAAAGTGTAGTTGATGCTCTGTACACACCCATATAGTAGTATAATATTCTGTATATATCCAAAGTGTAGTTGATGCTCTGTACACACCCATATAGTAGTATAATGTTCTGTATATATCCAAAGTGTAGTTGATGCTCTGTACACACCCATACAGTAGTATAATGTTCTGTATATATCCAAAGTGTAGTTGATGCTCTACACACATCCATATAGTAGTGGTATAATATTCTGTATATATCCAAAGTGTAGTTGATGCTCTGTACACACCCATATATAGTAGTATAATGTTCTGTATATATCCAAAGTGTAGTTGATGCTCTGTACACATCTATATAGTAGTAAAATGTTCTGTATATATCCAAAGTGTAGTTGATGCTCTGTACACACCCATATAGTAGTATAATATTCTGTATATATCCAAAGTGTAGTTGATGCTCTGTACACACCCATATAGTAGTATAATGCTCTGTATATATCCAAAGTGTAGTTGATGCTCTGTACACATCTATATAGTAGTAAAATGTTCTGTATATATCAAAGTGTAGTTGATGCTCTGTACACACCCATATAGTAGTATAATGTTCTGTATATATCCAAAGTGTAGTTGATGCTCTGTACACACCCATATAGTAGTATAATGTTCTGTATATATCCAAAGTGTAGTTGATGCTCTGTACACACCCATATATAGTAGTATAATGTTCTGTATATATCCAAAGTGTAGTTGATGCTCTGTACACACCCATATAGTAGTATAATGCTCTGTATATATCCAAAGTGTAGTTGATGCTCTGTACACACCCATATAGTAGTATAATGTTCTGTATATATCCAAAGTGTAGTTGATGCTCTGTACACACCCATATAGTAGTATAATGCTCTGTATATATCCAAAGTGTAGTTGATGCTCTGTACACACCCATATAGTAGTATAATGTTCTGTATATATCCAAAGTGTAGTTGATGCTCTGTACACACCCATATAGTAGTATAATGTTCTGTATATATCCAAATGTAGTTGTACACACCCATATAGTAGTATAATGCTCTGTATATATCCAAAGTGTAGTTGATGCTCTGTACACATCCATACAGTAGGTTGATATTCTGTACCCACCTATATCGTAGTATAATGTTCTGTAGTTATTTTTTATACGTTACCACGTTGTAGATGATGTTCTGTTGTTGTCGCAATTGTTTGTTGTTTTACGCCGCACTCAGCAATATTCCAGTCATAAAGAGGCGGCCTGTAAGTAATCGAGTCTGGACCAAACAATCCAGTGATCAACATCATGAGATACCATGACATGTGTCAACCAAGTCAACGAACCTGACCACCGGAACCCGTTTGTCGCCTCTAAGGCAAGCATGGGTTGCAGAAGATCAATTCTAACCCGGATCTTCACGGTTTTATGGTCTACAGATATCCTGCTGGTAGAATAATGTTGTGTACATACCCAGGTCGAAGTATATTCCCATGTGTAGGTCGTGGTATTGCGCTCTGGTTCAACGTTGTCACTAACACTACTTCGGCCACAAACGACAGCATCCACGTGGTGAAAATCATGCCGATTTGTATGGTCACACTCAGTGAATACAGGGAACAGGAATTGTCATCACAGACATCTCTCGCATCTACCGTGAAAAAACCATCCTCACATTAAATACATCCCCCTGCCTACTCCAAGCGTCAGCCTGCATCGACTGTGCACGGCAAAAGCAGCGAGTCAAATGTGTGCATTAACTTCTGTTCACTGTCGAGAGGCAGACACTAACTATTGTGAAAACGTCGCTGACAAAATATGGATTTCAACATCATCTTCTCAGTCCCTACTGTCCGCTTGATACCTCAGTCACCATCCCTACTGTCCACTGTCCTCCTGACTGTCCCATCCCCCTGTCCACCTCAGTATGACCATCCCTACTGTCCACTGTCCGCCTGATGTCTGATGTCTCAGTCACCATCCCTACTGTCCACTGTCCGCCTGATGTCTCAGTCACCATCCCTACTGTCCACTGTCCGCCTGATGTCTGTACACCATCCCTCAGTCACCATCCCTACTGTCCACTGTCCGCCTGACAGTCACCATCCCTACTGTCCACTGTCAGCCTGATATCTCAGTCCCTACTGTCCACTCCCTGATATGTCTCAGTCACCATCCCTACTGTCCACTGTCCGCCTGATGTCTCAGTCACCATCCCTGATGTCTCAGTCCATCCCTACTGTCCTCCTGATGTCTCAGTCACACCATCCCTACTGTCCACTGTCCGCCTGATGTCTCAGTCACCATCCCTACTGTCCACTGTCTCAGTCACCATCCCTGTCCACTGTCCGCCTCGCCTCCATACCATCCACTGTCCACTGTCAGCCTGATGTCTCAGTCACCATCCCTACTGTCCACACTGTCCGCCTGATGTCTGTCCACTGTCCGCCTGATATCTCCCTACTGTCCACCGTCCGCCTGATATCTCAGTCACCATCCCTACTGTCCACTGTCCGCCTGATGCCTCAGTCACCATCCCTGTCCATTGTCCGCCTGAGTCACCATCCCACTGTCCACTGTCCTGATGATCTCAGTCACCACTGTCCACTGTCCGCCTGATGTCTCAGTCACCATCCCTACTGTCCACTGTCCGCCTGATGTCTCAGTCACCGTCCCTACTGTCCACTGTCCGCCTGATGTCTCAGTCACCATCCCTACTGTCCGTCCGCCTGATGTCTCAGTCACCATCCCTACTGTCCACTGTCCGCCTGATGTCTCAGTCACCATCCCTACTGTCCACTGTCCGCCTGATGTCCGCCTCTCAGTCACCATCCCTACTGTCCACTGTCCGCCCAGTCCACCATCCCTACTGTCCACTGTCCGCCTGATCTCAGTCCCTACAGTCCACTGTCACCTGATCCTCAGTCACCATCCCTACTGTCCACTGTCCGCCTGATGCCAGTCACCATCCCTACTGTCCACTGTCCGCCTGATGTCTCAGTCACCATCCCTGTCCGCCTGATGTCTCAGTCACCATCCCTACTGTCCACTGTCCGCCTGATGTCTCAGTCACCATCCCTACTGTCCACTGTCCGCCTGATGTCTCTCATCCCTACACCACTGTCCGCCCAGTCACCATCCCTACTGTCCACTGTCCGCCTGATGTCTCAGTCACCATCCCTACTGTCCACTGTCCGCCTGATGTCTCAGTCACCATCCCTACTGTCCACTGTCCGCCTGATGTCTCAGTCACCATCCCTACTGTCCACTGTCCGCCTGGTGTCTCAGTCACCATGTTTATGGTGTGATTTTGGGCAATGTCTTCTGCAGTGGATGATGGTGTGTGTTTCAGAACGTCTTCTGCAGTGTTTGTTGAAGTGTGTTTTAGACTGTCTTCCGGCTTGTATAATATCTTCTGACCTATACAATCGTATGCGCTGTGGACTTGATCTGTACGTATGTTGTGAAGTGTCTTCTTCAGTTTTTGACCTGTGTGTTGTGTTTGTCAACGCCGAAAGTGTAGAAACAATTGTTGCTAATCGTATTTTTCAGTTTGTCACTATGTAGACATTTCAAAAAGTATCGCAACGATTACGAGTTTAACCCCCATATAGCCATTCATATTTATGTCACTTGTGTTTGAAGCAAGCTATTGTTTAGGACCCTCAGCGCTCAGGTCGACCGGGAGTGGCAACTTCTAGGGAAGATACAGCTCTTCTCAGAATCGCAAGACTTCATCCGTTCATGTCAAGTAGCGTGTTCAAAAACAAAATGGCTTCCATATCGTCGTTTGTCCAACGGATGGTCCGATACTCAAAGTACCATTTGGCGGAGATTCATTTACGGTGCGGAGTGTCCCCCACGTGACTGTAAACTTGACCTTATGACGATCAGACAAAATCTGAATAGACAATGGTAATCATTGATATCCTAGACAGTGTTGTACCACCATTTCAGAACATAAGGCCTATCGTCATGAACGGCTACACAACGAAACATCATGCAAAATGCGGTAGCAATTCCCCCTTGGCCCTCCAGGAGTTCAGATCACAATCCCAGAGAACATGTTTGGGACATAGTGGGTCGAGGAACCGTCCAGTACAAAATCGTGATGTAATGAGACAAGCTCCCCATAAAGAAAGGGAAAGCAATACCTCAACGTCAAATCCAACGTCTGATACAGTCAATGAGGAGGATGGTCAGGGATGTTATTCCAGTTGTGCTCATGTGGGGAATCGAACCCGGGTCTTCAGCGTGACGAGCGAACGCTTTAACCACTAGGCTACCCCACCGCCCCTGATGAGCGTGTTATTTTAGGAGGATTGTATGCCAGAATCTTGAGAATGGACGCATTTATTAACGCCATACGACTGTAGGTATCAGCACAACAAAATGAGTTAATTCATTGCCTTGCTTGCTTCTCTCAAATACAGGTTTTCGTTCTTTTTTTTTAGATTTGGCATTTTGTTATTCCTTAAGGGTCAATATATCCACATAATATGTTAATTTTAGGTTTGAATAAGTTCCTTTGTTACGGTTAATGGTAACATTGTGGTACTATGTAAATATTGGTTGTTGCGATACTTCTTTCCATGTGTATATGTTGGCGCGTGTCTTGTGTACATGTAGCGAGTATTTGCTGAGTGTGTTCAAAGCTGATGCAGCACGGCAGGCGACGGAATCAAGTGGAGGTTCCTGTTGCTAAACTGTGCCACTCTTTCATCTGGCAGCCGTGGAATTTATAAAGTCTTTGACACGTCCGTCATTGCCTCTGAGCATTTCCTGGTCCAATACTAGGGCTGGGTTTACACAGTGGGATATGCTTGATAACATGTAGTTCTACATCGTTCTATCCTTGTTTTGACGGTCATCGTTTTGTTGAAACGTCAGACCGCTTGTCAGCCAACATGGTCTACTGTGTTTAGCGGCAATGTGTGGTGAAGGGAGACATGGACAGGGATGGGATTCGGCAATGTGTGGTGAAGGGAGACACATGGTCTGGGATGGGATGCTGCAATGTGTAGTGAAGGGAGACACGTGGTCTGGGATGGGATCCGGCAATGTGTGGTGAAGGGAGACACGTGGTCTGGGTTGGGACACGTGGTCTGGGATGGGATGCGGCAATGTGTGGTGAATGGGAGACACGTGGTCTGGGATGGGATTCGGCAATGTGTGGTGAAGGGAGACACGTGGTCTGGGATGGGATCCGGCAATGTGTGGTGAAGGGAGACACGTGGTCTGGGATGGGATCCGGCAATGTGTGGTGAAGGGAGACACGTGGCCTGGGATGGGATGCGGCAATGTGTGTAGTGAAAGGGAGACACAGGGCCTGGGATGGGATCCGGCAATGTGTGTGGTGAAGGGACACGCATGGCCTGGGATGGGATGCAATGTGTGGGAAGGGAGACAGGGCCTGGTATGGGATCCGGCAATGTGTGGTGAAGGGGAGACGCATGGCCTGGGATGGGATGCGGCAATGTATGGTGAAAGGAGACGCATGGCCTGGGATGGGATCCGGCAATGTGTGGTGAAAGGAGACATGGCCTGGGATGGGATCCGGCAATGTGTCGTGAAGGGTGCCTGGGATGGGATGCGGCAATGTGTGGTGAAGTGGATACAGGGCCTGGGATGGGATCCGGCAATGTGTGGTGAAGGGGGAGACAGTGGCCTGGGATGGGACGCGGCAATGTGTGGTGAAGGGAGACACATGGCCTGGGTTGTGATCCAGCAATATGTCGTGAAGGGAGACATGGCCTGGTATGGGATTCGGCAACGTGTGGGGAAGGGAGACATGGCCTGGGATGGGATCCGGCAATGTGTGGTGAAGGGAGACATGGTCTGGGATGGGATTCGGCAATGTGTGGTGAAGGAGACACGTGGTCTGGGATGGGATTCGGCAATGTGTAGTGAAGGGAGACACGTGGTCTGGGATGGGATTCGGCAATGTGTAGTGAAGGGAGACACGTGGTCTGGGATGGGATTCGGCAATGTGTGGTGAAGGGAGACATGGTCTGGGATGGGATCCGGCAATGTGTGGTGAAGGGAGACACGTGGTCTGGGATGGGATTCGGCAATGTGTAGTGAAGGGAGACACGTGGTCTGGGATGGGATTCGGCAATGTGTAGTGAAGGGAGACACGTGGTCCCTGGGATGGGATCCAGGGGCAATGTGTAGTGAAGGGAGACACGATGGTCTGGGATGGGATCCGGCAATGTGTGGTGAAGGGGAGACACACGTGGTCTGGGATATGGATCCGGCAATGGGCACGTGTGGTGAGTGAAGGGAGATGTGGTGAAGGAGACACGTGGTCTGGGATGGGATCCGGCAATGTGTAGTGAAAGGAGACACGTGGTCTGGGATGGGATTCGGCAATGTGTGGTGAAGGGAGACATGGTCTGGGATGGGAAGGGAGCAACGTGAAGGGAGACTGGTCTGGGATGGGGATCGGCAATGTGTAGTGAAGTGGGGGAGACACGTGGTCTGGGATGGGATCCGGCAATGTGTGGTGAAGGGAGACACGTGGTCTGGGATGGGATTCGGCAATGTGTGAAGGAGACACGGGGTCTGGGATGGGATTCGGCAATGTGTGGTGGGGAGGGAGACACGTGGTCTGGGATGGATCCGGCAGCAATGTGTGGTGAAGGGAGACACGTGGTCTGGGATGGGATCCGGCAATGTGCAAGTGAAGGGAGACACGTGGTCTGGGATGGGATCCGGCAATGTGGTAGTGAAGGGAGACACGTGGTCTGGGATGGGGATCCGGCAATGTGTGGTGAAGGGGAGACACGTGGACCCTGGGATGGGATCGGCAATGTGTGGTGGAAGGGAGAGACACGTGGTCTGGGATGGGGATCCGGCAATGTGTAGTGAAGAGACACGTGGTCTGGGATGGATTCCGGCAATGTGTAGTGAAGGGAGACACGTGGTCTGGGATGGGATCCGGCAATGTGTGGTGAAGGGAGACACGTGGTCTGGGATGGGATTCGGCAATGTGTAGTGAAGGGAGACACGTGGTCTGGGATGGGATCCGGCAATGTGTAGTGAAGGGAGACACGTGGTCTGGGATGGGATCCGGCAATGTGTAGTGAAGGGAGACACGTGGTCTGGGATGGGATTCGGCAATGTGTGGTGAAGGGAGACACGTGGTCTGGGATGGGATTCGGCAATGTGTGGTGAAGGGAGACACGTGGTCTGGGATGGGATCCGGCAATGTGGTGAAAGGGAGACACGTGGTCTGGGATGGGATCCGGCAGTGTGTGGTGAAGGGAGACACGTGGTCTGGGATGGGGTCCGGCAATGTGTAGTGAAGGGAGACACGTGGTCTGGGATGGGAGTCCGGCAATGTGTGGTGAAGGGAGACACGTGGTCTGGGATGGGATCCGGCAATGTGTAGTGAAGGGAGACACGTGGTCTGGGATGGGGTCCGGCAATGTGTAGTGAAGGGAGACACGTGGTCTGGGATGGGATCCGGCAATGTGTAGTGAAGGGAGACACGTGGTCTGGGATGGGATCCGGCAATGTGGTGAAAGGAGACACGTGGTCTGGGATGGGGATCCGGCAATGTGTAGTGAAGGGAGACACGTGGTCTGGGATGGGGTCCGGCAATGTGTAGTGAAGGGAGACACGTGGTCTGGGATGGGATCCGGCAATGTGTGGTGAAGGGAGACACGTGGTCTGGGATGGGATCCGGCAATGTGTGGTGAAGGGAGACACGTGGTCTGGGATGGGATCCGGCAATGTGTGGTGAAGGGAGACACGTGGTCTGGGATGGGGTCCGGCAATGTGTGGTGAAGGGAGACACGTGGTCTGGGATGGGGTCCGGCAATGTGAAGTGAAGGGAGACACGTGGTCTGGGATGGGATCCGGCAATGTGTAGTGAAGGGAGACACGTGGTCTGGGATGGGGTCCGGCAATGTGTAGTGAAGGGAGACACGTGGTCTGGGATGGGATCCGGCAATGTGTGGTGAAGGGAGACACGTGGTCTGGGATGGGGTCCGGCAATGTGAAGTGAATGGGGAGAAATGTGGTGAAGGGAGGATGGGGTCCGGCAATGTGTAGTGAAGGGAGACACGTGGTCTGGGATGGGGTCCGGCAATGTGTAGTGGTGAGGGAGACACGTGGTCTGGGATGGGTCCGGCAATGTGTAGTGAAGGGAGACACGTGGTCTGGGATGGGGTCCGGCAATGTGTGGTGAAGGGAGACACGTGGTCTGGGATGGGGTCCGGCAATGTGTAGTGAAGGGAGACACGTGGTCTGGGATGGGGTCCGGCAATGTGTGGTGAAGGGAGACACGTGGTCTGGGATGGGGTCCGGCAATGTGTGGTGAAGGGAGACGTGGCCTGGGATGGGATGGGGTCCGGCAATGTGTGGTGAAGGGAGGTCTGGGAAGGGTCCGGCAATGAATGGTGAAGGGAGACGCCAGGGATGGCATCCGGCAATGTGTGGTGAATGGAGACGCCAGGGATTAAGACACAGATCCTGGTGTTGGGTCTGCCAATGTGAGGTGAGTTGAAATTTGCTTGAGAATATTTCGCTCATATGACGACGTGCATGCATGTGTATGTGTAAGTGTAAGTGCGGCTGCTTGTACTAGCCCAGACTTAAGCTGGTTTTATAGTGCTAGCCCACTGAGATACCAGGCCGTAGTGAAGCATGAATACCCCACTCAGACACATTATACTGACTCCGAGCCGACCAGTCCTTGCTGTACCCATTAATGCCGAGCGCCAGGCAGGGACCAACAAGTACCATAGTTTAACGTCTTTTGGTATGACGCGGTCGGGTATCGAACCCGCGACCTTCCGCTCTCCGGGCGGGCGCTCTAACCATTACACCACGGAGGCGGTCGGGTCTGCCAATGAGTGGCAAAGGGAGACATATGACCTGGGTATTTGATCTGGCTGGGAGACACACAGTTTTGAAAGGGTCGCCCAACGGCTGATAATAAATCTAATACGAGCAAACACTCACAAGCCATGGAAGTATTTATTACATGGACAGTATGTACACAGTTCATTTTTTCCCCAGGTACGACCCAACCTCGCATGGCCTAGTCATGTGTTCATTCCAGGCCTCGCTTTCATTCTATCCCAAATGGGAACGGTAGCCACCCGTCTTGTGGAATTCGGGTCATGTTAGAAACACCAAACAACATAAAATTAGTTCAACTTCCGCAGAACTTCCGCAGAACTATCAGTGCGAGCTGCCACCAGATGGAGCTGGTGACGTCCGGTTATAAACCTCCAACATCCGGTTATAGATTTTGTCTGTCAGCCCCGCGACATCATCTGACGTCATCCCGGTAGTTTGGACGGGAGGCAGGCACGTGATGGTGAACCGCCCTGTTGGGAGGAGGTCAGAGGAACTTGGTCAGTGAGTGAGTGAATTTAGTTTTATGCCGCACTCAGCAATATTCAAGCTTCATGGCAGCGGTCTGTAAATAATCGAGTCTGGACCAGACAATCCAGTGATCAACAGCATGAGCATCGATCTGCGAAATTGGGAACCGATGACATGTGTCAACAAAGTCAGCGAGTCTGACCACCCGATCCCGTTAGTCGCCTCTCTACGACAAACATGGGTTACTGAAGATCAATTATAACCCGGACCTTCACGGGTCTTGGTCAGTGACATAAAGCAGGACTAAAATCACGAAATGGAGCTCTGGAGCATAAATATACACAACACCACATTCTACACAAGTCAGTGAGTTTAATTTTGCTTTAAGCAATATTCCATCAATATCACGTCGAGGGACACTAGAAATGGTCTTTTCGCATTGTACCCATGTGGGGACTCGAATCCCGGTCTTTGGCGTGACGAGCGCACGCTTTAACCACTAGGCTACCCCACCGCCCCTTCTACACAAGACATCAACACTCAACACAACATGATTCTAAGATGTGATAAATACTGTGACCTTGACACATACTCACCTGGTGTTCTATATGTGACCAAGAGATACTCACCTGGCGTGTTATATGATGTGACTAAGACACATACTCACCTGGTGTGCTATATGATGTGACCAAGACATACTCACCTGGTGTGCTATATGATGTGACCAAGACATACTCACCTGGCGTGTTATTTGATGTGACCAAGACATACTCACCTGGTGCGCTATATGATGTGACCAAGACATACTCACCTGGTGCGCTATATGATGTGACCAAGACATACTCACCTGGCATGTTATTTGATGTGACTAAGACACATATTCACCTGGTGCGCTATATGATGTGACCAAGACATACTCACCTGGCGTGTTATTTGATGTGACCAAGACATACTCACCTGGCGTGTTATATGATGTGACTAAGACACATACTCACCTGGTGTGCTATATATTACGGTCGTGAGTAAGTGAGTTACTTTTTACGTCGTTTAAGCAATAACCCAGCAATATCATGGCAGGGGTATCAGAGGTTATGACCATGACATATATTGACCTGGAGTGTCATGATGGTGGCTATGAAGGATATTGACCTGATGTGTTATGAGACATGGCTGATGTATTTACATCTCTGAGATTTTTTAAGGGGATTGAGAGATCTCTCTGAGGGTTGAGGGATTAAAAAAGGCCTCTGAGATGACGTGGATGGTTACAGCGAGGTCTCTAAGAGGGTGCAGAGGGATTATTGAGAGGATTTTGGGAAAAAGGAGAAGATTATATCTGGAGATGTTTAAAAGAATTCAGGGTGAGTATGGAGCTATCTGTAAGATGGTGGAGACGGTGTATTGGGAGATCCTTGATATGGGTGAAAAGCGAGTATGGATTGATTTTGTCAGGGCGAAAGTGAGGTATTCTGAGACCTCTGAGAGGGGGAGCAGGAGTATTGAACAGAAACAAAGTACTGAGAACTTGCCCGTGTCAAAATGCTTCTTCTTCTTGTCATAGAATCCAGAGTAGGAGGAGAAGACCACGGGGACTATAGGCACCTGCATGGACAGAAGGTTGACACTTACTACATGTCTCATCCTCGATAATCTCCAGGGTATACGCTACGATAACTCTCCACTACGATAACTCTCCACTATACCCTGGATGCATCCACGGCGTGGGGCGATGATTTTATTACCTCCCTTGGCTGGCTCCGCATTCTCACAGTAGCCAATCAGCTAAGCCGCCGTTACAGCCGAGCTTGCCAGTGTCAACAAAGACAACAGTCGCAGTCGCAAAGTTTGTTCGCAGTGCCACACAGATTTTTGGGAAATAATAAAGACAAATTCACAGATATGAAACTTTAAAAACTATATGAAAGAGCTCCTTCTACTTCTTTCAGAGTACCTCTGCATCAATTGTGTTGCCAAGTTTAAACGGTTAGATAATTTGAGTAGTGAAAGTGAGTTTTGATTGGTTCGCTCAACTTCCCAGCGTAGGCACTTGCATCCAGGGTATAGTGAAGAGTTATCGTAGCGTATACCCTGGAGATTATCGAGGATGTACATGTCTAAGCATAATTGACAACCCTCTAATGTTCTTGTTCTCATGCGATAGGTATTTCCCTACTCTCCCTACCTTTGCCTGTACTGCCAGATGGAACGCCCCCTTCTTGAAGGGCAGCAGGGATCCCCCATGGTTCCTCTTGCCCTCGGGGAAGATCCACACCTTGCACTGTAGTGGAGGACATGAATAACATTGTCTTTATAAACTGCATGTATGAGCATTCATCATAATAGATGAATCCGCCTTTCATCAATTACCATATACGTTCTTCACTGGTCCCTCGGTGGAACATGGGTAGATGTACCCTCTGTGTTTATTTATCTTCCCTGAGCTCGAAGGAACCTAAGAACAACGTATTCATCTTACAGAACACCTCAATGTTAATTTTGAACTGTTTGAAGCACGGGCACTGGATCATAATAAGGAGTACCGGAGTTAGGCAACAGCCCAAACGCAACTAACCAAAACGAATTCCCACAGTTCGGCATTTCCAGCGGGTAACATGGAAAATGTTACTCGCTTGTAAGCGGGGTACATTGATTGGCTCGGCCAATCAGAAAACGACATTTATGAGTGAGGTAAGACCATACATAATGTACACTTTTTGTAGCGCTTACTGGGGGCTGCTTAGATGGCCCTGTACATCAGCCTGCACCTATATTGCCTGTACGTAACCTCGCCCTATATAGTCTCTACGTCACTTCTGACCTCTACCGTATTTGTACGTTACCTCTGAAAAAAAGTTTCTCCGTACCTTGTCCCTGACCTGCATTGTCTTCGACCTGGGGCGGTGGGGAGGCCTAGTGGTTAAAGCGTTCGTCGTCATGTCGAAGGCCCGGGTTCGAGTCCCCACATGTGTACAATGTGTGAAGCCCATTCCTGGTGTCCCCTGCCGTGATATTGCTGGAATATTGCTAAAGCGGCGTAAAACTAAACTCACTCACTCACTTTGACCCACCTTATTTTTATTGATGATGTCGGCTGTCTTCGCCATGGTAGACATGGCTTTCTCCTTGTCCAGGCGGTCGATAAAAATGCCCCCGCTCAACCAGATCGCCAGTCCGAAAGGTCCTGCTGCATATTTGATCTCCTTCTTTGCCAAACACGTACAGTTCTGGGGGCTTGATAACAGCCATTCCTGGGTAAACATACAGTTCCAGGTCACTCAACACGTCACTTTTTGGATTCACAAGTGTGGTATCTGTGACCTGAATCAGTTCGGGAGTTCAACCACATTAAAGTGACATGCCCCGACTTGCATACGGTCAAAGGCGACGCTTAACCTAACTCGCAAACTCGCATCTCCTACATGCAATATTTTACGAGCGCTTTACACTTCTGCCTAAAAGTTCATTCCCCTCACACTAGACTAAGGCTTAGTCTCTGAATATATATAATTTTGATAGTAACAAACAAGCCCATTTATATTGAAAAGGAGCCCTAGGGAGACCAGAGATTCAGAACCTGAGGAAATCTAGACTTGCTTTATTTAGGGCTTTAGCACTGCAGAGAGGGCTTGGCAGTAGGGAAATTAATGTGGTTCAGGGACTGTGAGACAGACTACCCTCACACGCGTTCAGATGGTTTGGTTGGTACTTTTTATGTTGTTTTTTTGTATTGTATTTTTAAGTTAGCACTAATTGGCTGCATGGCATTATATTTTATGCAAACCAGAAAGCCAGTTGTACATTCGCAAAACTCTTTAAAAAAAATTCAGAATGTTCCGTGTGCGATCAATTTATCAGGCATCAATGAGATAAACAAGATATGTTATTCATCTGTGACATCCAGGGAGCTGTGAGTTCGCATGAGACCCCGAGATGTGTGTGACTCACAAATAAGATCTTGGGAGCTCAGTGACTCAGACATAACACCCAGAAAGATCTGAGTCAACCATGAGATCCAGGGAGCTCTTTGAGTCAACCATCAAACCCCGAGAGCTCCTTGACTTATACATGAGATCCAGGCAGAATTGTAATTTACACATAACATCGAGGGAGATCTGACTCACCCATAAGAGTAGCAAGCTCAGTGGGTCAACCATCAAAACAGGAATATTTTATTACTGAGACATGAGATCCAGGGGGATCTGCCTCACCCATAAGGCTAGGGAGCTCAGTGGGTCAACCATCAAAACCTGAGTATTATTTTTACTTACACATGAGATCCAGGGGGATCTGATTCACCCATAAGGGCTAGGGAGCTCAGTAGGTCAACCATCAAACCCCGAGAGGTCTTTGACTTACACATGAGATCCAGGGAGATCTGACTCACCCATAAGGTCGAGGGAGCTCTGGTGGTTGGATACAAGGATGTATGGTTCATCTGAATGGAGGTTTTCCACGTCAATCACTTCAGTGTGGATGCCAAACGCCTTCCGCACCAGGTTGAACGCCACAGCAGCATAGCTACACAAACCTTGTAGATATGATGTACATGTACCCGGTGCGACATGTCGTCATTTAATATACCAACGAACTATTAACTACTAATTGTTACAGACACTCTTTACACTTTTACAACACCCATTACCTCCTTCTACAACAGATTACACACACCTACCCACTGGTACAACAGATGACACACACCCACCCACTGGTAAAACAGATGACACCCACCACCCACTGGTACAACAGATTAAACACACTATCCACTGGTACAACAGACAACACACACTACCCACTGGAAAAACAGATGACACCCACCACCCACTGGTACAACAGATTAAACACACTATCCACTGGTACAACAGATGACACACACTACCCACTGGTAAAACAGATGACACCCACCACCCACTGGTATAAAAGATTAAACACACTACCCACTGGTACAACAGACAACACACACTAACCAGTGGTACAACAGATGAAACACACTACCCACTGGTACAACAGATGACACACAAAACCCACTGGTACAACAGATGACACAAACTACCCACTGGTACAACACATAACACACACAACCCACTGGTACAACTGATAACACACACTACAAACTGGTACAACAGATGACACATACTACCCACTGGTACAACAGATGACACACACTACCAACTGGTACAACAGATGACACACACTACCCACTGGTACAACAGATAACACTTTGCCCACTGGTACAACAGATTACACACACTACCCACTGGTACAACATATTACACACACTACCCACTGGTACAACAGATAACACACACTACCCACTGGTACAACAGATAACACACACTACCCACTGGTACAACAGATGACACACACTACCCACCGGTACAACAGATACACACACTACCCACTGGTACAACAGATGACACACACTACCCACTGGTACAATCTGATAACACACACTACCCACTGGTACAACAGATAACAAACACTACCCACTGGTACAACAGATAACACACACTACCCACTGGTACAACAGATGACACACACTACCCACTGGTACAACAGATGACACACACTACCCACTGGTACAACAGATAACACACTACCCACTGGTACAAATGATAACACACACTACCCACTGGTACAACAGATAACACACACTACCCACTGGTACAACAGATAACACACACTACCCACTGGTACAACAGACACACACACTACCCACTGGTACAACAGATAACACACACTACCCACTGGTACAACAGATAACACACACTACCCACTGGTACAACAGATAACACACACTACCCACTGGTACAACAGATAACACACACTACCCACTGGTACAACAGATAACACACACTACCCACTGGTACAACAGATGACACACACTACCCACTGGTACAACAGATGACACACACTACCCACTGGTACAACAGATGACACACACTACCCACTGGTACAACAGATAACACACACTACCCACTGGTACAACAGATGACACACACTACCCACTGGTACAACAGATGACACACACTACCCACTGGTACAACAGATGACACACACTACCCACTGGTACAACAGATAACACACACTACCCACTGGTACAACAGATGACACACACTACCCACTGGTACAACACATAACAAACACTACCAAGTGGTACAAAGAATAACAAACACTACCCACTGGTACAACAGATAACACACACTACCCACTGGTACAACAGATAACACACACTACCCACTGGTACAACAGATAACAAACACTACCAACTGGTACAACAGATAACAAACACTACCAACTGGTACAACAGATAAAACACACTACCCACTGGTACAACAGATAACACACACTACCCACTGGTACAACAGATAACAAACACTACCAAGTGGTACAAAGAATAACAAACACTACCCACTGGTACAACAGATAACACACACTACCCACTGGTACAACAGATAACAAACACTACCTACTGGTACAACAGATAACAAACACTACCTACTGGTACAACAGATGACACACACTACCTACTGGTACAACAGACAACACACACTACCAAGTGGTACAACAGATAACACACACTACCCACCAGTTCAACAGACAACACACACTACCCACTGGTACAACAGATGACACACACTACCCACTGGTACAACAGATAACACACACTACCCACTGGTACAACAGATAACACACACTACCCACTGGTACAACAGATAACACACACTACCCACTGGTACAACAGATAACACACACTACCCACTGGTACAACAGATAACACACACTACCCACTGGTACAACAGATAACACACACTACCCACTGGTACAACAGATGGTACACACACACTACCCACTGGTACAACAGATGACACACACTACCCACTGGTACAACAGATAACACACACTACCCACTGGTACAACAGATAACACACACTACCCACTGGTACAACAGATAACACACACTACCCACTGGTACAACAGATAACACACACTACCCACCAGTACAACAGATAACACACACTACCAACTGGTACAACAGATAACACACACTACCCACTGGTACAACAGATAACACACACTACCAAGTGGTACAACAGATAACACACACTACCCACCAGTTCAACAGATAACACACACTACCCACTGGTACAACAGATGACACACACTACCCACTGGTACAACAGATAACACACACTACCCACTGGTACAACAGATAACACACACTACCCACTGGTACAACAGACAACACACACTACCCACTGGTACAACAGATAACACACACTACCCACTGGTACAACAGATAACACACACTACCCACTGGTACAACAGATAACACACACTACCCACTGGTACAACAGATAACACACACTACCCACTGGTACAACAGATAACACACACTACCCACCAGTACAACAGATAACACACACTACCCACCAGTACAACAGATAACACACACTACCAAGTGGTACAACAGATGACACACACTACCCACTGGTACAACAGATAACACACACTAGCAAGTGGTACAACAGATAACACACACTACCCACTGGTACAACAGATAACACACACTACCAAGTGGTACAACAGATAACACACACTAGCAACTGGTACAACAGATAACACACACTACCTACCAAGGTTGGTGTGGTTTACATACCTGAAATTGTTGAGGTCTTTAGGTTTGAAGAGCGACAGAATTGTGACTCCTGAGCCTATTGCCGTCAAGAACACGTAGTAGATGGTGAACTTGACGTAGTATTTGACGGTGTGGCTGATCTGGAGAAGTACTGGGAGAACCAGTAGGAAGACCAGCAGCACCACCCACAGATACATCCCGGGGGGTCGCGACTGCTGTCAGCACGAGTGGCACACAGAACTGGTTCCACGCGAAACACGTTACTCCAGGTGAATGGCTGATTCGCCTGTTTTCAGTTCCTTTTTCTACTTTCGTTTTCACTCCGGTTTGAGATCAGTTATGGTTTCCCAGCCTGTCCAGTCCTAGTACAAACATGGGTGAGGACTGCGGGTCACCGCACTCGACAACATCGCTATGTGGGTCACGTGACAGCACGCTCCACGAGGCGGATGTTTGTTTGTGTGCAGCACGTGAATCTGTCGCAGGAGGAAGTGAGATGCGGTTGCAGTGGCGTTGAGTAACGGGTGAGATGCGGCGGTGGTTACGGCGGAAGGAGCCCGCGATTTGATGGAGATGACAATTTGTTAGTTAGGTCGTGATGACCTTCGTTAAGCGTGCACGGGCCAAGCACTGATATATGACATGTGTCAAGTGTACGAGAATGTACGATAGATATCGGCTATCAGATGATAGCTCATGGCCAGGAACATAAATAACATTGGCCTTCTGGAAACAGGGATGTGTGCTGCAAGGGACAAAGAGGTCAAAATGGCGGGGCTGGCGGCTGGTGGGGTGGGGTGGGGTGGCGAAGGGGGTATAGCAAGGGTCAAACACACTGGAGGGCGGGGGTCACAGATAAAGAGATGATTGTAGCAAGGGATATAACACTTGGAAGGGCGAGGTCACAAGTAAAGGGATGTGTGTAGCAAGGGATATAACACATGGAAGGGCGGGGTCACAAATAATAGGATGTGTGTAGTAAAGGGATATATAACACTTGGAAGGGCGGGGTCACAAGTAAAGGGATGTGTGTAGCAAGGGATATAACACTTGGAAGGGCGGGGTCACAAGTAAAGAGGATGTGTGTAGCAAGGGATATAACACTTGGAAGGGCGGGGTCACAAGTAAAGGGATGTGTGTAGCAAGGGATATAACACTTGGAAGGGCGGGGTCACAAGTAAAGGGATGTGTGTAGTAAGGGATGTATCACTTGGAAGGGCGGGGTCACAAGTAAAGGGATTTTTGTTGCATGGGATATAACACTTGGAAGGGCGGGGTCACAAGTAAGAGGATGATTGTAGCAAGGGATATAACACTTGGAAGGGCGCGGTCACAAGTAAGAGGATGTGTGTAGTAAGAGATATAACACTTGGAAGGGCGGGGTTACAAGTAAAGGGATGTATGTAGCAAGGGATATAACACTTGGAAGGGCGGGGTTACAAGTAAAGGGATGTGTGTAGCAAGGGATATAACACTTGGAAGGGCGGGGTCACAAGTAAAGGGATGTGTGTAGCAAGGGATATAACACTTGGAAGGGCGGGGTTACAAGTAAAGGGATGTATGTAGCAAGGGATATAACACTTGGAAGGGCGGGGTCACAAGTAAAGGGATGTGTGTAGCAAGGGATATAACACTTGGAAGGGCGGGGTCACAAGTAAAGGGATGTGTGTAGCAAGGGATATATCACTTGGAGGGGCGGGGTCACGACTAAAGGGGTGTGTGTAGCAAGGGATATAACACTTGGAAGGGCGGGGTCACAAGTAAAGGGATGTGTGTAGCAAGGGATATATCACTTGGAGGGGCGGGGTCACGACTAAAGGGGTGTGTGTAGCAAGGGATATAACACTTGGAAGGGCGGGGTCACAAGTAAGAGGATGTGTGTAGCAAAGGGATATAACACTTGGAAGGGCAGGGGTTACAAGTAAAAGGGATGTATGTAGTAAAGGGATATAACACTTGGAAGGGCGACGTCACAAGTAAAAGGGGAAGTATGAAGCAAGGGATATAACACTTGGAAAGGGCAGGGTTACAAGTAAAAGGATGTGTGTAGCAAAGGGGATATAACACTTAGGAGGGCAGGGTCACGAGAGTAAAAGGATGTGTGTAGTAGGGATATAACACTTGGAAGGGCGGGGTCACGACTAAAAAGGGATGTGTGTAGTAAGGGATATAACACTTGGAAGGGCAGGGTCACAAGTAAAAGGATGGTTGTAACAGGGGATATAATACTACAAAGGGGTGGGGGTCACAAATAAATTGATGTGTGTTAACATTGATATAATACTTGGAAGGGCAGGGGTCACAGAAGTAAGAGGATGTGTGTAGTAAGGGATATAACACTTGGAAGGGCAGGGTCACAAGTAAAAGGGATGTGTGTAACAAAGGGATATAACACTTGGAAGGGCAGGGTCACAAGTAAAAGGGATGTGTGTAGCAAGGGATATATTACTTGGAGGGGCAGGGTCACGACTAAAGGGATGTGTAGCAAAGGGATATAACACTTGGAAGGGCAGGGGTCACAAGTAGGAGGATGTGTGTAGCAAGGGATATATCACTTGGAGGGGCAGGGTCACGACTAAAGGGGTGTGTGTAGCAAGGGATATAACACTTGGAAGGGCGGGGTCACAAGTAAGAGGATGTGTGTAGGAAGGGATATAACACTTGGAAGGGCGGGGTTACAAGTAAAGGGATGTATGTAGCAAGGGATATAACACTTGGAAGGGCGACGTCACAAGTAAAGGGAAGTATGAAGCAAGGGATATAACACTTGGAAGGGCGGGGTTACAAGTAAAGGGATGTGTGTAGCAAGGGATATAACACATAGGAGGGCGGGGTCACGAGTAAAGGGATGTGTGTAGCAAGAGATATAACACTTGGAAGGGCGGGGTCACGACTAAAGGGGTGTGTGTAGTAAGGGATATAACACTTGGAAGGGCGGGGTCACAAGTAAAGGATGTTTGTAACAGGGGATATAATACTTGGAAGGGCGGGGTCACAAGTAAAAAGATGGTTGTAACAGGGATATAATACTTGCAAGGGGGGTGGGGGGTCACAAGTAAATTGATGGTTGTAACATTGATATAATACTTGGAAGGGCGGGGTCACAAGTAAGAGGATGTGTGTAGTAAGGGATATAACACTTGGAAGGGCGGGGTCACAAGTAAAGGGATGTGTGTAGCAAGGGATATAACACTTGGAAGGGCGCGGTCACAAGTAATAGGATGTGTGTAGTAAGGGATACATCACTTGGAAGGGCGGGGTCACAAGTAAGAGGATGTGTGTAGCAAGGGATATAACACTTGGAATGGCGGGGTCACAAGTAAGAGGATGTGTGTAGCAAGGGATATAACACTTGGAAGGGCGCAGTCACAAGTAAGAGGATGTGTGTAGTAAAGGGATATGCTGCTTGGAAGAGCAGGGTCTAGAAGTAAGAGGGATGTGTGTAGTAAAGGGATGTATCACTTGGAAGGGCAGGGAGTCACAAGTAAAAGGGATGTGTGTAGCAAGGGATATAACACTTGGAAGGGCGGGGTCACAAGTAAAGGGATGTGTGTAGCAAGGGATACAACACTTGGAAGGGCGGGGTCACAAGTAAGAGGATGTGTGTAGTAAGGGATATAACACTTGGAAGGGCGGGGTCACAAGTAAAAGGGATGTGTGTAGCAAGGGATATAACACTTGGAAGGGCGGGGTCACAAGTAATAGGATGTGTGTAGTAAGGGATATAACACTTGGAAGGGCGGGGTCACAAGTAAGAGGATGTGTGCAGTAAGGGATACATCACTTGGAATGGCGGGGTCACAAGTAAGAGGATGATTGTAGCAAGGGATATAACACTTGGAAGTGGCGCGGTCACAAGTAAGAGGATGTGTGTAGTGTAGTAAGGGATATAACACTTGGAAGGGCAGGGTCTAAAGTAAAGGATGTGTGTAGTAAAGGGATGTATCACTTGGAAGGGTGCACCCAGTCCACAAGTAAAAAGGGATTTTGTTGCATGGGATATAACACTTGGAAAGACGCTGGTCACAAGTAAGAGGATGTGTGTAGTAAAAAGGGATATAACACTTACTTGGAAAGGCAGGGGTCTAAGTAAAGGGATGTGTGTAGTAAAGGGTCTTATCACTTGGAAGGGCAGGGTCACAAGTAAAGGGATTTTTTGTTGCATGGGATATAACACTTGGAAGGGAGGGGTCACAAATAAGAGGATGATTGTAGCAAGGGATATAACACTTGGAAGGGCATGATCTAAGTAGAGAGAGGATGTGTAGTAAGGGATATAACACTTGGAGGGCATCACAAGTAAGAGGATGTGTGTAGTAAGGGATATAACACTTGGAAGGGCGGGGTCACAAGTAAAAGGGATGTGTGTAGTAAGGGATATAACACTTGGAGGGGCGGGGTCACAAGTAAAGGGATGTGTGCAGTAAGGGATATAAGACTTGGAAGGGCGGGGTCACAAGTAAACGGATGGTTGTAACAGTGGATATAACACTTGGAAGGGCAGGTTCACTAGTAAGAGGGTGTGTGTAGTAAAGGGATATAACACTTGAAGAGGCATGGGTCACAAGTAAGAGGGAATGTGTAGCATGGGCTACTATAACACTTGGAAGGGCTGGAGTCACAGTAAAAGGGAAGTGTGTAGTAAGGGATATAATACTTGGAAGGGCAGGAGTAACAAGTAAAAGGGATGTGTGTAGCAAGGGACATAACACTTGGAAGGGCAGGGGTCACAAGTTAAAGGGATGTGTGTAGTAAGGGATATAACACTTGGAGAGGCAGGGGTCACAAGGAAAAGGACATGTGTAAGTAAAGGGATATAACACTTGAAAGGGCGGGGTCACAAGTAAGAGGGTGATTGTAGCAAGGGATATAACACTTGGAAGGGCGCGGTCACAAGTAAGAGGATGGTTGTAACAGGGGATATAACACTTGGAAGGGCGGGGTCACGAGTAAAGGGAAGTGTGTAGTAAAGGGATAATACTTGGAAGGGCAGGGGTAACAAGTAAAGGGATATGTGTAGTAAAGGAGGATATAACACTTGGAAGGGCAGGGGTCACAAGTTAAGGGATGTGTGTAGTAAAGGTCACTATAACACTTGGAAGGGCAGGGTCAACGGAGAAAAGGACATGTGTAGTAAGGGATATAACACTTGGAAGGGCAGGGGTCACAAGTAAGAGGGTGATTGTAGCAAGGGATATAATACTTGGAAGGGCGGGGTCACAAGTAAAGGGATGTGTGTAGTAAGGGATGTAACACTTGGGAGGGCGGGGTCACAAGTAAAGGGATGTGTGTAACAGGGGATATAACACTGGGGAACGCGGGGTCACAAGTAAAGGGATGTGTGTAGCAAGGGATGTCACACTGGGGAACGCGGGGTCACAAGTAAAGGGATGTGTGTAGCCATCTGGACGGGTGTAACCATACTCAGACCTTTGGACCAAACTTGGTTATAAGGGGTGACATGTACACTATATAGGTCAGAGCAACATACCACCACAAGGCGAATCAATTCGAAGGAAGGGAAATTTGTGAGGGCACATTTGGAGCCCTGCCCCAACCCGGATGCTGAACCTGACTGTTGCTTCAGAACACATGGATATTTGTCGATAGAGCCTTCAGTTCACGTATGACTAAATGACTAAATACTGACTAAACTACTGTCGGAAATAGAAAAGAAACTGTCTTTACACATATATATCTACAATTTATTAAGTTAAAATGTGAAAGTGTGAAATATCTGTGAAACTACGTTCGGCCTAACTACAGTCCCAGTGGTAGGGAGATAGGAAACGTAAAAAAAGGACTTAGTGCAGAAATGAGCAATGCGGGTGTTTTCTAAGTCCACAGCAACTTATTTAGAACAGACCATGGCTTTATGCAAATTAGTGTGCGATGATATTGTATTTCAAAGGACACTTTTAAATGCCTATTTTGAAACTAGACTTAGCTTCATTATAAACGACAGATGACGTAAAAAATACTAACTTTAATACTGAAACTATTAAGGATGTAGCTGCCATGGAGCTAGACTAAGACTTAGTCTCTGAATATATATAATTTTGATAGTAACAAACAAGCCCATTTATATTGAAAAGGAGCCCTAGGGAGACCAGAGATTCAGAACCTGAGGAAATCTAGACTTGCTTTATGTAGGGCTTTAGCACTGCAGAGAGGGCTTGACAGTAGGGAAATTAATGTGGTTCAGGGACTGTGAGACAGACTACCATGGAGCCTCACTGTCACTATAAAAGGAAACAGCTAGGAGGGGTCGTCTCAAAAGCAAAACCAGGAGGGGTGTTGCGGACGGTGGTTGGGGTCGTACTGGGGGATAGAGATATCAGCTACGATAAGATAATCCTTTAGGGGAATTAAACAGGGGGAAGTAAACGGCATGTCTTAACAATAATATCCAGTCCTGTCGATCTTGGGGTGGTCTTGCCACCTATATATTTTGAGACATTTAATACGATAGTTGATTTAAGCTTTTCTATGGGTTTCATATTCTTTTACACATCTCAACATAAACGTTATGAAAGACAGATGATAATCAATAGATGAGACATATGCAATACACATGAAAAAAGCATAAAGTATCTTTGAGATGACCCCTTGTGCCTGTAGGCAGCACGTGCATTTCATGCCAGGTGAGTCGACGGTCCGTCGTCATATCTGGTTGAGCGACCTAATTGCCATCTACAGCGTGATCTATTGTTTTCGGCAGCTATTCGTATTTTTTCTAAGTTTTGCCCTATTTTACGAGTAAACATGCACTTCTTGATATCCTATTACACATCCCACTGAACGCCCAGTTTAGGGATACAGAGTAACAGCTTAAAAACAGTTTTTTACTATTTCCGACAGTACTTTAGGTTGTACTGGTATAATTTAATGTGAACCAGCTGCACAGAGAGAGAGAGAGAGAGAGAGAGAGAGAGAGAGAGAGAGAGAGAGAGAGAGAGAGAGAGAGAGAGAGAGAGAGAGAGAGAGAGAGAGAGAGAGAGAGAGAGAGAGAGAGAGAGAGAGAGAGAGAGAGAGAGAGAGAGAGAGAGAGAGAGAGAGAGAGAGAGAGAGAGAGAGGGAGAGAGAGAGAGAGAGAGAGAGAGAGAGAGAGAGAGAGGAGAGGGAGAGAGAGTGGGGTCTACTAAGCTCACCATTGTCCAATAGAACAGTACTCGTGTGGCCAATGAATAACATTTGTTGTCAGAAGTGTCTCCTTTCTGTGTGGTGATTATGCTAGGTTATCAAGTGGAAAATACATCAACCCTTTGTTCTCCTCAGACACAAAGTCGGTAGATACAACCATAAATGGCGACATTGAAATATGATAATATATGATGGGAAATAAATAAAATAAAAATTGGAATGGCGGCCAATTCTTAAAACCTATGTGGTCACCATATGGTTTTCCTTGTTACAGTTGATTACAATTCCTTAATACAATTTCATAAAGAAAATACTTCACACTACTCCCGATACAAAAGTGAGTGAGTGAGTTGAGTTTTACGCCGCACTATATTCCAGCTATATGGCGGCGGTCTGTAAATAATCGAGTCTGGACCAGACAATCCAGTGATCAACAGCATGAGCATCGATCTGCGCAATTGGGAACCAATGACATGTGTCAACCAAGTCAGCGAGCCTGACCACCCGATCCCGTTAGTCGCCTCTTACGACAAGCATAGTCGCCTTGTGTGGCAAGCATGGGTTGCTGAAGACCTATTCTACCCCGGATCTTCACGGGTCCCGAACCGCCTCCGTGGTGTAGTGGTTAGAGCGTCCGCTCGGAGAGCGGAAGGTCGCGGGTTCCATCCCCGACCGTCTCATACCAAAAGACGTTAAAATATGGTACTTGTTGGTCCCTGCCTGGCGCTCGGCATTAATGGGTACAACAATGTGTCTGAGTGGGGTATTCATGCTTCACTGCGGCATGGTATCTCAGTGGGCTAGCACTATAAAACCAGCTTCAGTCTGGGCTAGTTCAAGCAGCCGCACATACACATACACACGCATGCACGTCGTCATATGAGCGAAATATTCTCAAGTACGACGTTAAACCCAATTTCACCTCACCTCATGGGTCCCGATACAAGATATAACAGATTTTTTTCTGAAGTGAACAATCAGTAGAAAAGTATTTGACGTTGGAAAGGGTGTTTATTCTATACAAAACTTGGACATAACGACCTTGACCTTGTAAATAGCGCCGTTTGTTGAAAGTGCAGGCGGCACCTTGTAACTGTCCCATTGCATTGTTTACCGCCACAAGTTACATCGTGAGGTTATACATATCTCGACGCATGAGGATGCTACGACGTTGTTTTATTGTAAACATCCAGCATCTGTTGTCGTATATCTTCAGTGAGGGCGCCGACGTCGTCCACCGTCATCCCCGCTGTAGACACCGGCGGAAGCGCTGTGATTGTGAAACTTCCTGGAGAGATAATAACACACCCTCAAAAGTCTCCGATGATATTAATAAACAGATATTAATAAATGTTTAGTTTTCAGTTTTTTACTTTCATCCATTATGCGATCGATGCAGTTTCTACTGATTACCCATGTACAGGTTTAGTGGACAAACATAACTGGGGGTCTTCGGAGTGAAAGCTTTGTGACGGAACCGTTTCTCCCAGAGGTGAAGTGTAAATAGTGAACAACTCAGGTCCCAGGACAGAACCTTGAAGGAGACCGTACGGTAGTAAATAGTGAACAACTCTGGTCCCAGGACAGAACCTTGAAGGAGACCGTACGGTAGTAAATAGTGAACAACTCTGGTCCCAGGACAGAACCTTGAATGAAACCGTACGGTAGTAAATAGTGAACAACTCTGGTCCCAGGACAGAACCTTGAAGGAGACCGTACGGTAGTAAATAGTGAACAACTCTGGTCCCAGGACAGAACCTTGAATGAAACCGTACGGTAGTAAATAGTGAACAACTCTGGTCCCAGGACAGAACCTTGAATGAGGCCGTACGGTAGTAAATAGTGAACAACTCTGGTCCCAGGACAGAACCTTGAATGAGGCCGTACGGTAGTAAATAGTGAACAACTCTGGTCCCAGGACAGAACCTTGAATGAGGACCGTACGGTAGTAAATAGTGAACAACTCTGGTCCCAGGACAGAACCTTGAATGAGGCCGTACGGTAGTAAATAGTGAACAACTCTGGTCCCAGGACAGAACCTTGAATGAGGCCGTACGGTAGTAAATAGTGAACAACTCTGGTCTCAGGACAGAACCTTGAATGAGGCCGTACGGTAGTAAATAGTGAACAACTCTGGTCCCAGGACAGAACCTTGAAGGAGACCGTACGGTAGTAAATAGTGAACAACTCTGGTCTCAGGACAGAACCTTGAATGAGGCCGTACGGTAGTAAATAGTGAACAACTCTGGTCCCAGGACAGAACCTTGAATGAGGCCGTACGGTAGTAAATAGTGAACAACTCTGGTCCCAGGACAGAACCTTGAAGGAGACCGTACGGTAGCTGAAACTGTCCTGTATTATGAATACCCCTTGACCATGTAAATCTGGATCTTTATCACGCAGTGTTACGCTTGCATTCCGTTAGTCAACTAAACTATGACCTGTATCGTTTCAACATGAACGATTCTACATCTTCTAAACCCGGTAATGCTTGTGAACATGTACCGCTCTTCCTATTAGAATGAAAACTGTATTACATTCAAAGACATACATTACTGTTAAATTTTAAAAGTGTTGTAAAACGTGACTCTCCAGTCACATTGCCATTAATGTTACTTGGAAGTTCAAAAATGACTATTCAACAGAATGAATATGTTTATAAGAGTGTACAAGCTTTTATTCATCAATCAAAATGTTTTGAGTGATCACATCAGTTGTGTCCCTTCCTCTCTGCTCTCTTTGCCGTATACGCCTATGCTTTAATTCCATTCACTCCTAAGATGTATAACCGCCTCCGTGGTGTAGTGGTTAGAGCGTCCGCCCGGAGAGCGGAAGGTCGCGGGTTCGATCCCCGACCGCGTCATACCAAAAGACGTTAAAATATGGTACTTGTTGGTCCCTGCCTGGCCATCGGCATTAATGGGTACAACAAGGACTGGTCGGCTCGGAGTCAGTATAATGTGTCTGAGTGAGGTATTCATGCTTCACTGCGGCATGGTATCTCAGTGGGCTAGCACTATAAAACCAGCTTCAGTCTGGGCTAGTACAAGTAGCCGCACATACACATACACACGCATGCACGTCGTCATATGAGCGAAATATTCTCAAGTACAACGTAAAACCCAATTTCACTTCACCTCACCTAAGATGTATAATATTGAATATGCACGTATGTAACTATCAGTAACAAGTTTTATAACTTGTCCCCAATCCCTTTAACATTTGTGAAAAAATATGTTTATATCAAATCACTGGATTGTCTGGTTCAAGGCGCCAGGCTAGTAATCCAGCGAGGTTGAGGTGCCGAGATCGAGCCCACCTGTGACCGGGTGTAAAACCTTGGAGTCAATTTTGTATGGAGACTCTTTCAGTGTTGTCACAACCCCTAGTGTACAATATACAACCCTGTGCACTTAAAAGAACCCGCGAATCCGTTGGTAAATGACCAGATGGTGGCCACATAAGAACGTGCAAACACCTAGTTGCGGGTACAGCAACGTGCAGTAGACTTGGACAAAGTACAGTGACTATGTGTCCCAGTCCACCCAGCTGTGAATGGGTACCTCGTCAGGATGGAAAAGCCATATTAACTCGGTGCGGCTTGTGGCTGCAAGAGTAGTAAGTTCCCAAGGGAGTTGAGATTGATACTATAATGTGCCGTTTGAGATTGACATCCAATGATCGAGGGAAAAACAACTTTCGAAGCGCAGAATACACAGAGTCGTTCAAAAAGTATTCGGACACTTGACGTCATTTCCATAGACTTACATGCTATTTCAGTGTAGCATAAATACTTTTTGTGAAGTGAGTTTCAGTATTTAACTAATGACATCACATTTATGAACTTACATATGGTTCCACAAAGCAAAATCCCATAGCCCGCCATTGTAAAGGGGTTCACGGCTCTGTACATATGTTGATTAAATTGTTGCCATTCGATAAATAAGCAGCGGAAAATTAATCAGAAATTATGGAATTGTGGGTAAGATGATTCCTCACAAATGTACAAAATTTGACTTGGATCTGACGAAAATTAAATTCAAGAAAATTATTTATGCTTCACTAAATTTACATGCAAGTCTATGGAAATTACGTCAAGTGTCCGAATACTTTTTGCACGACTCTGTAGAAGTAGTTCAAATAGGGCGCTATGGAAACATGGACATATAGCTGGGATACTGCGGCGTTACAAATCAATCAACCAACCACTATGGCACCACCACTACTCACCTGCGTCAAGCCGTTTCTTCTTTTCATAGAAAGGGTAGCCTGAAAACACCACGGGGACGACTGGCACCTGCCAAGAAACATGCAGATTTAACCAGGTGAACGCTAATTGACGTATACAAGACTGCTGGTCTCAACTGTGATGTACTTCTAATAATGATTGCCAAGTTTCTTACCTGTACTTTTACTGCTTCCACATTTCTCACCTGTGCATACAATGTTGATCTTATGTCATCTGTCCCTATGTTGATTCACCTATCTCACTTGTCTTCGTATCATAACTATCAGTTCCCCATATCTCACCTGGCCTTGTATCATTCCCCATGTCTCACCTGTCATTGTATCATTTCCCCATATCTCACCTGTCATTGTATCATTTTCCAATATCCCACCTGTCCTTTTATCATTTCCCCATATCTCACTTGTCCTTGTATCATTTCCCCATATCTCACCTTTCATTGTATCATTTCCCCATATCTCACCTTTCATTGTATCATTTCCCCATATCTCACCTGTCATTGTATCATTTCCCCATATCTCACCTGTCATTGTATCATTTCCCATATCTCACCTGTCCTTGTATCATTTCCCATATCTCATCTGTCCGTGTATCATTTCCCCATATCTCACCTTTCATTTTATCATTTCCCCATATCTCACCTTTCATTGTATCATTTCCCCATATCTCACCTGTCATTGTATCATTTGCCCCTATCTCACCTTTCTTTGTATCATTTCCCCATCCTTCACCTTTCATTGTATCATTTCACCATATATCACCTGTCCGTGTATCATTTCACCATATCTCACCTGTCATTGTATCATTTCCCCATATGTCAACTACCCTTGTATCATTTCCCAATATATCTCACCTGTCATTGTATCGTTTCCCCATATCTCACCTGCCCTTGTATCATTTCCCCATATCTCACCTGCCCTTGTATCATTTCCCCATATCTCACCTGTCCTTGTATCGTTTCCACATATCTCACCTGTCATTGTATGCTTCCCCTATATCTCACCTGTCCTTGTATCGTTTCCCCATATCTCACCTGTCACTGTATCCTTCCCCTATATCTCACCTGCCCTTGTATCATTTCCCCATATCTCACCTGTCCTTGTATCGTTTCCCCATATCTCACCTGTCATTGTATGCTTCCTCTATATGTCACCTGCCCTTGTATCATTTCCCCATATCTCACCTGCCCTTGTATCACTTCCTCATATCTTACCTGTCATTGTATCATTTCCCAATATCTCACCTGCCCTTGTATCATTTCCCCATATCTCACCTTCCATTGTATCATGTCCCCATATCTCACCTGTCATTGTATCATTTCCCCATGTATCATTTCCCCATATCTCACCTGTCATTGTATCATTTCCCCATATCTTACCTGTCATTGTATCATTTCCCAATATCTCACCTGTCCTTGTATCATTTTCCCATATCTCACCTGTCCTTGTATCATTTCCCCATATCTCAACTTTCATTGTATCAAGTCCCCATATCTCACCTGTCATTGTATCATTTCCCCATATCTCACCTGTCATTGTATCATTTCCCCATATCTCACCTGTCATTGTATCATTTCCCCATATCTCACCTGTAATTGTATCATTTCCCCATATCTCACCTGTCATGGTATCCTTCCCCTATATCTCACCTGTCATTGAATCATTCCCCCATATCTCACCTGTCCTTGTATCGTTTCCCCCTATCTCACCTTTCATTGTATCGTTTCCCCATATCTCACCTGTCATTGTATCATTTCCCCATATCTCACCTGTCATTGTTTCCTTCCCCTATATCTCCCTGTCATTGAATGATTTCCCCATATCTCACCTGTCATTGTATCCTTCCCCTATATCTCACCTGTCATTGAATCATTCCCCTATATCTCTACTGTCATTGTATCGTTTCCCCATATCTCACCTTTCATTGTATCATTTCCCCATATCTCACCTGTCATTGTTTCCTTCCCCTATATTTCGCCTGTCATTGTATCATTTCCCATATCTCACCTGTCCTTGTATCATTTCCCCATCTCACCTGTCCTTGTATCATTTTCCCATATCCCACCTGTCCGTGTATCATTTCCCCATATCTCACCTGTCATTGTATCCTTTCCCCATATCTCACCATTCATTGTATCATTTCCCCATATCTCACCTGCCCTTGTATAATTTCCCCATATCTCACCTGTCCTTGTATCATTTCCCCATATCTCACCCACATGTCACCTGTGCTTGTACTGCTGTCACATGTATCGCACGTATACATGTGTTCCACGTATTTGTACTGTGTCGGGATATCTCTCACCTGTGCTGGTACTGTTTCTTTATTTCGCACATGCACTTGTACTATTTCGTCATAATTCACCGGTGTCTGTATCATTTCCCTATATCTCACCTGTGCTTGTACTGCTAAGTGAAATGCTCCTTTCTTAAATGGTTGCAGTCCTTTCTTAGGATTGCGTTTTCCTTCAGGGAAAATCCAGACGATCACCTAAAACAAACAACTAAATGTTCACTGATCGATAAGTTGAAAGTACAGTCTTCCTCTCAGTTCTGTGAGGGTTAGGATGAGTGAGGGGTAAATCATGTTGATGTCACTAGTCACACATTCTTCCTCTCGGTTTTGTGAGGGTTAGGGTGAGTGAGGGGTAAATCATGTTGACGTCATCAGGCACACGTTCTTCCTCTCGGTTCTGTGATGGTTAGGGTGAGTGAGGGGTAAATCATGTTGACGTCACTAGTCACACATTCTTCCTCTCGGTTCTGTGAGGGTTAGGATGAGTGAGGGGTAAATCATGTTGACGTCACTGGTCACACATTCTTCCTCTCGGTTCTGTGAGGGTTAGGATGAGTGAGGGGTAAATCATGTTGACGTCATAATGCACACATTCTTCCTCTCGGTTCTGTGAGGGTTAGGGTGAGTGAGTGAGGGGTAAATCATGTTGACGTAAATCATGTTGTCACACATTCTTCCTCCTCGGTTCTGTGAGGGTTAGGGGTGAGTGAGGGGTAAATCATGTTGACGTCACAATGCACACATTCTTCCTCTCGGTTCTGTGAGGGTTAGGGTGAGTGAGGGTAAATCATGTTGACGTCACTAGTCACACATTCTTCCTCTCGGTTCTGTGAGGGTTAGGGTGAGTGAGGGGTAAATCATGTTGACGTCATCAGGCACACATTCTTCCTCTCGGTTCTGTGAGGGTTAGGGTGAGTGAGGGGGTAAATCATGTTGACGTCACTAGTCACACATTCTTCCTCTCGGTTCTGTGAGGGTTAGGGTGAGTGAGGGGTAAATCATGTTGACGTCATCAGGCACACATTCTTCCTCTCGGTTCTGTGAGGGTTAGGGTGAGTGAGGGGTAAATCATGTTGATGTCACTAGTCACACATTCTTCCTCTCGGTTCTGTGAGGGTTAGGGTGAGTGAGGGGTAAATCATGTTGACGTCACAAGGCACACATTCTTCCTCTCGGTTCTGTGAGGGTTAGGGTAAGTGAGGGTAAATCATGTTGACGTCACTCAGTTCACACATTCTTCCTCTCGGTTCTGTGAGGGTTAGGGTGAGTGAGGGGTAAATCATGTTGACGTCATCAGGCACACATTCTTCCTCTCGGTTCTGTGAGGGTTAGGGTGAGTGAGGGGTAAATCATGTTGACGTCACTAGTCACACATTCTTCCTCTCGGTTCTGTGAGGGTTAGGGTGAGTGAGGGGTAAATCATGTTGACGTCACTAGGCACACATTCTTCCTCTCGGTTCTGTGAGGGTTAGGGTGAGTGAGGGGTAAATCATGTTGACGTCACTAGTCACACATTCTTCCTCTCGGTTCTGTGAGGGTTAGGGTGAGTGAGGGGTAAATCATGTTGACGTCATCAGGCACACATTCTTCCTCTCGGTTCTGTGAGGGTTAGGGTGAGTGAGGGGTAAATCATGTTGATGTCACTAGTCACACATTCTTCCTCTCGGTTCTGTGAGGGTTAGGGTGAGTGAGGGGTAAATCATGTTGACGTCATCAGGCACACATTCTTCCTCTCGGTTCTGTGAGGGTTAGGGTGAGTGAGGGGTAAATCATGTTGACGTCACTAGTCACACATTCTTCCTCTCGGTTCTGTGAGGGTTAGGGTGAGTGAGGGGTAAATCATGTTGACGTCACTAGTCACACATTCTTCCTCTCGGTTCTGTGAGGGTTAGGGTGAGTGAGGGGGGTAAATCATGTTGACGTCACTAGTCACACATTCTTCCTCTCGGTTCTGTGAGGGTTAGGGTGAGTGAGGGGTAAATCATGTTGACGTCACAGGCACACATTCTTCCTCTCGGTTCTGTGAGGGTTAGGGTGAGTGAGGGGTAAATCATGTTGACGTCACAAGGCACACATTCTTCCTCTCGGTTCTGTGAGGGTTAGGGTGAGTGAGGGTAAATCATGTTGACGTCACTAGGCACACATTCTTCCTCTCGGTTCTGTGAGGGTTAGGGTGAGTGAGGGGTAAATCATGTTGACGTCACTAGTCACACATTCTTCCTCTCTCTCGGTTCTGTGAGGGTTAGGGTGAGTGAGGGGTAAATCATGTTGACGTCATCAGGCACACATTCTTCCTCTCGGTTCTGTGAGGGTTAGGGTGAGTGAGGGGTAAATCATGTTGACGTCACTAATCACACATTCTTCCTCTCGGTTCTGTGAGGGTTAGGGTGAGTGAGGGGTAAATCATGTTGACGTCACTAGTCACACATTCTTCCTCTCGGTTCTGTGAGGGTTAGGGTGAGTGAGGGGTAAATCATGTTGACGTCATCAGGCACACATTCTTCCTCTCTCGGTTCTGTGATGTTGAGGGTTAGGGTGAGTGAGGGGTAAATCATGTTGACGTCATCAGTCACACATTCTTCCTCCTCGGTTCTGTGAGGGTTAGGGTGAGTGAGGGGTAAATCATGTTGACGTCACTAGGCACACATTCTTCCCTCTCGGTTCTGTGAGGGTTAGGGTGAGTGAGTGAGGGGTAAATCATGTTGACGTCACTAGTCACACATTCTTCCTCTCTCTGTGAGAGGGTTTCTGTGAGTTGGTTAGGGTGAGTGAGTGGGGTAAATCATGTTGACGTCACCTAGTCACACATTCTTCCCTCTCGGTTCTGTGAGGGTTAGGGTGAGTGAGGGGTAAATCATGTTGACGTCACTAGTCACACATTCTTCCTCTCGGTTCTGTGAGGGTTAGGGTGAGTGAGGGGTAAATCATGTTGACGTCATCAGGCACACATTCTTCCTCCTCTCGGTTCTGTGAGGGTTAGGGTGAGTGAGGGGTAAATCATGTTGACGTCACTAGTCACACATTCTTCCTCTCGGTTCTGTGAGGGTTAGGGTGAGTGAGGGGTAAATCATGTTGACGTCACAAGGCACACATTCTTCCTCTCGGTTCTGTGAGGGTTAGGGTTGAGTGAGGGTAAATCATGTTGTGGGGTACAATCATGTTGAGTGAGGGGTCATGTTGACGTCACACACATTCTTCCTCTCGGTTCTGTGAGGGTTAGGGTGAGTGAGGGGTAAATCATGTTGACGTCATAAGGCACACATTCTTCCTCTCGGTTCTGTGAGGGTTAGGGTGTGAGTGAGGGGTAAATCATGTTGACGTCACTAGGCACATTCTTCCTCTCGGTTCTGTGTGAGGGTTAGGGTGAGTGAGGGGTAAATCATGTTGACGTCACCAGGCACACATTCTTCCTCTCGGTTCTGTGAGGGTTAGGGTGAGTGAGGGGTAAATCATGTTGACGTCATAAGGCACACATTCTTCCTCTCGGTTCTGTGAGGGTTAGGGTGAGTGAGGGTAAATCATGTTGACGTCACAAGGCACACATTCTTCCTCTCGGTTCTGTGAGGGTTAGGGTGAGTGAGGGGTAAATCATGTTGATGTCACTAGTCACACATTCTTCCCTCTCGGTTCTGTGAGGGTTAGGGTGAGTGAGGGGTAAATCATGTTGACGTCACAGGGATATCGAACGTTGACGAGTGTCGACGTAAAGCGAATGAGGCCACACATGGACACATTTCCTCTCGGTTCTGTGAGGGTTAGGGTGAGTGAGGGTAAATCATGTTGACGTCTGACAAGATGCACATTCTCCTCTCTTCCTGAGTGAGGGGTTCTGTTGAGGCGTCAACCATGCACACATTCTTCCTGTCGGTTCTGTGAGGGTTAGGCGGTGAGTGAGGGGTAAATCATGTTGACGTCATTAGGCAGGCCACATTCTTCCTCTCAGTTCTGTGAGGGTTAGGAGTGAGTGTAAAATCATGTTGACGTCACTAATACACATTCTTCCTCTCGATGGTTCTGTGAAGGTTAGGGTGAGTGAGGGTAAATCATGTTGACGTCACTAGTGCACACATTCTTCCCTCTCGAGTGTCGACGTAAAGCAGTGAGGGCTTAAGATGTGATGATAGTGCATTGATTCAAGCTGGCTCACATTCTTCCTCTCGATGGTTCTCGCGATGTCAACCATGGTGGAGATGGCGCTGTCGTGGTGCACGCGGTCGATGAAGACACAACCACATAGCCAACACGCCAGGCCGAACGGACCGGAGTAGAGCAGCTCCTTCTTCGCAAGGAATGTACACCCGAGGGGAATCATCATGGCCACACCTGGAATACAAGTACACAGTATCTTCGTGAGTTCGTTCGTGAATTCGTTCGTGAGTTCGTTCGTGAGTTCAGTGAGTGATTTCGTGAGTGAGTGAGTGGGTGAGTGCCCATGTGGGGAATCGAACCCAGGGCTTCGGCGTGACAGGTGAACGCTTTAACCACTAGGCTACCCCACCGTCCCCAACTGGCATGGTGGCGTGAGCTGCGCAGAACATACCTAGGAAGTCCAGCGAGCTCTGGTGGTTGGACACGAGGATGTAGGGCTTGTCTGACTTCAAGTTGTGTATATCTTTCAACTCTGCACGGATACCAAACAAACCACTACAGATGTTGAACCCGGGATCAGATATCTGAAAGACATATACTGAATTCTTAAAGAAACGCGAATATTACTAAAGGTTGAAGTTACATGAAAAAAGATTTAAATGAAGGCGAAGAGGTGTGTGTTTGATGCTCAAATAGTGATTCCCGTCAGTTGCATGTTCTAGTGCTACTACCCGTGAAGGTCCGGGTTAGAATGAACCTTCAGTAACCCATGCTTGTCGTAAAAGGCGGCTAACGGGATCGGGTGGTCAGGCTCGCTGACCATTCTATCCTACACAGACCTCTGTACAGACCTCTACACACTACTCTATCCCACACAAACCTATATACACACTATTCTATCCCACACAGACCTCTGTACAGATCTCTATACACACTGTTCTATCACACACAGACCTCTGTAAACGTCTCCATACACACTGTTCTATCCCACACAAACCTCTATACACACTACTCAGACAGACATCTGTACAGATCTCTATACAAACTACTCTATCCCAGACAGACCTCTGTACAGATCTCTATACAAACTACTCTATCCCACACAGACCTCTGTACAGATCTCTATACAAACTACTCTATCCCACACAGACCTCTGTACAGATCTCTATACAAACTACCCTATCTCTATCACAAGACCTCCCACACAGACCTCTGTACAGATCTCTACAGACCTCTGTACAGATCTCTATACAAACTACTCTATCCCACACAGACAGATCTCTGTACAGATCTCTATACAAACTACTCTATCCCACACAGACCTCTGTACAGATCTCTATACAAACTACTCTATCCCACACAGACCTCCATACAGATCTCTATACAAACTACTCTATCCCACACAGACCTCTGTACAGATCTCTATACAAACTACTCTATCCCACACAGACCTCCATACAGATCTCTATACAAACTACTCTATCCCACACAGACCTCTGTACAGATCTCTATATCCACACAAGACCTCTGTACAGATCTCTATCTATCCCACACAGACCTCTGTACAGATCTCTATACAAACTACTCTATCCCACACAGACCTCTGTACAGATCTCTATACAAACTACTCTATCCCACACAGACCTCCATACAGATCTCTATACACACTACTCTATCCCAGACAGACCTCTGTACAGATCTCTATACACAACTACTCTATCCCACACAGACCTCCATACAGATCTCTATACAAACTACTCTATCCCACACAGACCTCTATACAGATCTCTATACAAACTACTCTATCCCACACAGACCTCCATACAGATCTCTATACACACTACTCTATCCCACACAGATGTTTATACACACTACTCTATCAAACACATATCTCTATACACACTACTCTATCCCACATAGATCTCTATACACACTACTCTATCAAACTCATGCCTCTACAATCACTACTCTATCCCACACAGATGTGTATAGTCACTACTTTATCCCACACATATCTCCATACACACTACTCTATCAAACACAGGCCTCTATACACACTACTCTATCCGACACAGATCTCTATACACACTACTCTATTCCACATATATCTCTATACACACTACTCTATCCAACACAGATCTTTATACACACTACTCTACTCCACGCATATCTCTATACATACTACTCTATCCGACAGAGATCGCTATAGTCACTACTCTATCAAACACAGATCTCTATAGACGCTACTATATCCCACAGAGATCTCTATACAGACTACTCCATCCAACACATATCTCTATACACACTACTCTATCAAACACAGATCTCTATAGTCACTACTCTACCCCACACTGATCTCTATACACGCTACTCTATCAAACACAGATCTCTATACACACTCCTCTATCCCACACATATCTCTATACACACTTATCTATACACACTATTCTATACACACTACCTCTATCCCACACAGATCTCTATCCCACACTACTCTATCAAACACAGATCTCTATACACACTACTCTATCAAACACAGGCCTCTATACAGATTACTCTATACACACTATCTCTCTATCCCACACAGACCTCCATACAGATCTCTATAGTCACTACTCTATCCCACACAGATCTCTATACACACTACTCTATCAAACACAGGCCTCTATACACTCTACTCTATCAAACACAGATCTCTATACACACTACTCTATCCCACACATATCTCTATACACACTACTCTATCCCACACATATCTCTATAAACGCTGCTCTATGCCACACAGATCTCTATGCACACTACTCTATCAAACACAGGCCTCTATACACACTACTCTATCCCACACATATCTCTATCCACACTACTCTTTCCCACACAGATCTCCATACACACTACTGTATCACACACAGATCTACATACACACAGTTCTATCCCACACAGATCTATATACACACTACTCTGTCCCACAGACACCTCTGTACACGCTACTCTATCAAACACAGATGTCTATACACACTACTATACCCCACAAAGATCTCTATACACACTACTCTAACCCACACAGATCTCTATACACACTACTCTATCCCACACATATCTCTATACACACTACTCTATCAAACACAGATCTATATACACACTATTCTATCACACGCAGATCTATATACACACTACTCTGTCCCACACACACCTCTGTACACGCTACTCTATCAAACACAGACCTCTATACACACTACTCTACCCTCACAGATCTCTATACACACTACTCTATCCCACACATATCTCTATACACACTACTTTATCAAACACAGATCTCTATACACACTACTCTATCCCACACATATCTCTATACACACTACTCTATCCACCACAGATCTCTATACACACTACTCTATCCCACACAGATCTCTATACACACTACTGTATCTCACACAGATCTCTATACACACTATTCTATCCCACTTAGATTTCTGTACAGGTTTGCATAAAATATATTTTATCCAACGAAGATTTCTTCACAGGTCTCAACACACGATATTTTATCCAACCCAGATCTTCACACATACAATCATCGTTCACCTGAGGTTGTTGACGTTACCGGGACTGAACAACGACAGCAACATCACCACGACAGCAGCTGTTGACATGACGGTGTAGTACGTCGTGAACTTTACATACAACTGGAACTTTGAGTTCAGTTTACATAGCAACAGCACCCCACTAAACAGGCCTAGCCCCACCAGCCACATGATGCTCTGTTTGGTGCGGATGGAGGAACTGTTGTCGTGGTATCCGCCGACAGCAACGAAGTGTAGTATTGTCGTGGTATCCGCCGAGAATGTTGTGCTGTTGTGCTATCCAAGCGGACGCCGATGTGTTGAGATATCGTGGTATCCGCGACGAAGGGTTGTGCTGTCTTGTTACCTGCGTCGAAGTGTTGTTCTGTCTTGTTACCTGAGACGAAGTGTTGTTACCTCCGACGAAGTGTTGTGCTGTCTTGTTACCTGAAACGAAGGGTTGTTTTCCTTGTGTCAATAGAAAACAACGACTTGTCGTTGTAGCCCTCAAGAGCGACAACGTGTTGTGTTGTCGTGATGTCGTCCGACAACGACGACTAGTGTACCGGTGGTATCCGACGGCAGCGACGACGCGTGTCAGGGCGATAACGTCTACAGCCAAGAGGGAGACCTCCACAAGAAAGAGGGCTTCTTCAAACAGAGGACGACAAAAGTGGTCCAAGTAGCATCGCGCCTTGAGAGGAAACCCTTCGACAGATAGCGAATAATAGTCATAGAGTTCATAGTCTAGCGACCGTGTGTGACCTGCTGCCCCGTATATCTCGACAGGCACGCATATCTGCTTCAGGTAATCTCCCGGTCACTCTGCTATCTCTCACAATAGTCAAACTATGTGACAAAAACGCGCCATGCAAAGTCCGACCATATTAATCAGTGTAATAGTGAGAAGGTGAGTAAGGTTTTACGCCGGATTACGCAATATTCCAGAAATATCATGGCGGGGGACACCAGAAATGGGTTTCATGCATTATACCCATGTAAGGATTCGACACCGGGACTTCGGCGTGACGAGCGAACGCTTTAACTACCAGCACAGAGCCAAAAGCTGGAACGTCACCATTGAAAAAAACAGAATGTAGGAAATGCATTCCATGACCAGATTTACGTATATATTTCATGCAATGCTATAACCCGTGAAGATCCGGGTTAGAAGTGATCTTCAGTAACCCATGCTTGTAAGAGGCGACTAACGAGATCGGGTGGTCAGGCTCGCTGACCTGGTTGACACATGTCATCGTACCCCATTTGCTTAAATCGATGCTCATGCTGTTGATCACTAGATTGTCTGGTCTAGACTCGATTATTTACAGACCGTCGCCATGTAGCTGAAATATTGCTGAGTGCGGCGTAAAACTAAACTCTTTCACTCACTCACTCACTACAATGCTATACCTTTGAAACATACGCTCATCATATATTTTCGTATGCACCGAGAACAACGAAGTGTTGTGTTGGGCTATCCAGGGGCGGATACAGCTTCTTGAGAAACGGGGGGTGCACACTATTCAGAGGTGAGGTGAGGTGAAATTGGGTTTAACGTCGTGCTTGAGAATATTTCGCTCATATGACGACGTGCATGCGTGTGTATGTGTATGTGCGGCTGCTTGTACTAGCCCAGACTAATGCTGGTTTTATAGTGCTAGCCCACTGAGATACCAGGCCGCAGTGAAGCATGAATACCCCACTCAGACACATTATACTGACTCCGAGCCGACCAGTCCTTGTTGTACCCATTAATGCCGAGCGCCAGGCAGGAACCAACAAGTACCATATTTTAACGTCTTTTGGTATGACGCGGCCTGGGATCGAACCCGCGACCTTCAGCTCTCCGGGCGAGGACAAAGAGACAGCGCATCGCCATTTGTTCACCACCGAACCTGTAAAACTCGGCGGCGGGGGACACCAGAAATTGGCTTCACACATTATTCCCATGAGGGGAATCGAACCCGGCTCTTCGGCGTGACGAGCCAACGCTTTAACCACTAGGCTACCCCACCGCCCCTGATGATGTCAAAGGCGGGTGCATTGAATGGCGGCATGTGGTCTCTGGTCATACCATAGGGATATATGACCCGTGAAGGTCCGGGTTAGAACGAACCTTCAGTAACCCATGCTTGTCGTAAGAGGCGACTAACGGGATCGGGTGGTCAGGCTCGCTGACTTGGTTGACACATGTCATCGGTTCCCAAATGCGCAGATCGATGCTCATGCTGTTGATCGCTGGATCATCTGGTCCAGACTCGATTATTTACAGACCGTCGCCATATAGTTGGAATATTGCTGAGTGCGGCGTTAAACAGCAAACCAACCAGCCCACCATGGCTACACAGCGTGTAAGTTGAATATTGGATCTTACAACAGTTTTCTAGCGTGGGAGAAATTCAGAAATAGGTATACATTTATATGGTCTTGAAAAACCAAAAAGCATTTAGGGGGCATGTTTCGATCCTCAATTTTGATAGAAATAGATAACTCCCGGTTCGTTTATACTGAATTAGCCCGAGTGAGTTCGGAGATTCAGAACCATTGGGAGTCTATAGGCTGGCTTCATTTTGGACTATTGCATTGCAGAAAGAGTGTGGGGGATTCCGGCAAGTTTGGAGTATGAGACAGACTACTGTCTAAGGCCCAAGCGATACAGAACGAATGTGTCTCGAACAAAGAGGAAAGCGCATTTTAAAAAACCTAATCGCCAAGTAAATATTAGTATTCGTATTTTGAAAAATAAATATATAGATCTGGACAAGTAGAAGATACCCTTCATTTGACACAGGCTCTGCTGACCACAGCTGGTGCCTTCATAATGTCTGCTGGAACAATGCAGTTGAGGACAGCTGGCTTGGTAGTGTTCATCAGGGCGAGGTCTGTCAATATTTTAGGACTGACGTTGTATTTTTGACGTTCATCAGCTGATGAAGATAGTGATTCACATGAGCCAATTCCATGATGCACTAACCATTGTCAATTCATGCATCACTGCTTGACTGACAACGTAGTCAGTCGACATACTGAAATCCATCTCGACGAGGTCACCCAATACTGTCAACATGTGTATACGATTTCAAGGTCTACCGCGCAAAACCTATTTCTAGTGCATCAAACTCATGTTATTATTTATTTATTTTATTTTCTATTTTTGCATTACAAATGACATAACACCAAACAATGCAGTTACCTTTTTCCAGGTAGTAGCTTGACAACGGTGTAAGAATCTACACGGAAACGTCACCCTATGTAATAAACAAGAATTTGTCATCCATGCAGTCGTATGCTTCATTAATGACACCAGCTTCTAGAAAGTCGATCAAACAATTAGACAATCAAGTAAGTGAGTGAGTTTAGTTTTACGCCGCACTCAGTAATATTCAAGCTGTATGGCCACCGTCTGTAAAAAATCGAATCTGGACAAGACAATCCAGGTATCAACAGCATGAACATCGATCTACACTGACTGACTGAGTTTTGGTTTCACGCCGTTTTTAGCAATATTCCAGCAACATCACGGCGGGGGACACCAGAAATGGGCTTCACACATTGTGCCCATGTGGGGATTCGAACCCGGGTCTTCGGCGTGACGAGCCAACGCTTTAACCATTAGGCTACCCCACCGCCCCTCGATCTACACAATTGGGAACCGATGACATGAGTCAACCAAGTCAGAGAGCCTGACCACCATATCCCGTTAGTCGCCTCTTGCGACAAGCATGAGTTACTAAAGATCAATATTCTAACCCGGAACTTCATGGGTCAGACAATCAAGTGATTGATGGACAGGAAACCCAGTTTCATAATTTGTAATAGCTTGAAAACTACGAAAGCCTAATGTTGCCACTTTTGTAGAATAAAATATGTTTTCAGCGACATTTCTCGTTGCTTCGAGTATTTTCTCGTTACTTCAAGTTTCTTTCAAAATCTTGAAATTTCGAGCAATTAATCGTTCCCGCGAGTATCGTTACTTCAAATATTCTTTCGTTGCTTCCATAATTTCTCACTGCTTCGAGTATTTTCTCGTTGCTTCAAGTTTCTTTCCAAAACCTGAAATTTCGAGTATTTACTCGTTCCTTACATTTTTTTCTCGTTACTTCAAATATTTCATCGTTGCTTCATTCAATTTCTCGTAGAACACGGTGTAAGACTCTACACGGAAACCTTGCTCTATGCAATAAACAAGATTTTGTTATCCATGAAGTCGTATGCTTGCTTCTTTATTGTCTCACTAACTTCTAGAAAACCGATCAAACAATTAGACAATCAAGTGATCGATGGACACGGAAACCCAGTTGCATACCTTGTAATTCTCAGAGATTCCGATGCTTATGCGTGAAGAGAAACGTTGGGGAATAAGATCTGTTTCATAACACAAAGAGGGTCAGTTTTAATGTCTCCGGCCACACATTTCTTTTGCAGTTGACTCGGTACACGTAATGTTGATAGTAACAAATATACTTGAAAAGGAGCCCCAGTGTGTTGGGAGATCCTGAACCTGGGGAAATCTAGACTTGCTTCATTTAGGGCTTTAGCATTGCAGTGAAGGCTAGGCAGTAGGGAAAATAATGTGGTTCAGGGTCTGTGAGACAGACTAGACACTTAAATATGCTATCGAGCTTATGATGAATCTCGGGAGCTTCAGTCCACCAGCAGAAACCTCGACCCAGTTGAATTAGATAGACAACGTCAGTGCAAAAGAAAATTAGTCCAGTGCATTGACATTCATCACTTGTGTAAACTCGACCTAAAATATTCATACCAGTTCTATTTGAAAATTCATTACCGAAGCACTGTGGTCGGTTAGAAGTGGACTTCAGTAACCCATGCTTGTCCAAAGAGGCGACTAACAAGATCGGGTGGTCAGGCTCGCTGATTTTTTGACACATGTCATCGTATCCCAATTGCGTAGATCGATGCTCATGCTGTTGATCACTGGATTGTCTGCTTCAGACTCGATTATTTACAGACCGCTGCCATACAGCTGGAATATTATTATGTGCGGCGTTAACCAACCAACCAACCAAAAATTGAGACCAACAAGAATTATAAGAACTGTTGTTGTTTTCTGTTTGAATGACAACATTTAGCTATTTCATCAGCAAAAGAATATTGAAGGTGCTAAAATCTTACATCTGTTGAGAAGTTTTGATTCAAAGTATCCGTCAACAAAATAGGTATAAATGCCTTACATAATAACATGTAGCGACTATTTATTGGTTCTACACTTTTCGATGTCTGTGGGATATTGTTAGGGGAGGTAATTCTATTTGTCCGTTTGACAACTGGCACAAACTCAACCGTCACTTTCGACAGCATCCTCGATAATCTCCAGGGTATAGATCTACGTTACGATTACTCTCCACTAAACCCTGGATGCATCCACGGCTTGGCTCGATGATTTTATTACATCCCTTGGCTGGCTCCGCATTCTCACAGTAGCCAATCAGCTAAGCCGCCGTTACATCCGAGCTTGCCAGTGCCAACAAAGATAGCGGTCGCAGTCGCGAAGGTTTGTTCGCAGTACCACTCAGATTTTTTGGGAAATAATACAGACAAATTGACAGATCTGAAACTTCCAAAAAATATATAAAAGAACTCCTTCCACATCTTTCAGAGTACCCTCTGCATCAATTGTGTTGCCAAGTTTAAACGGTTAGATAATTTAAGAAGCGAAAGTGAGTTATGATTGGTTCGCTCAACTTCCCAGCGTAGACACCTGACTGGATAAAAAGCTAGCCA